CCATGAACCCCCAGTTTGTAACAAACCGAGTCCCCATTTTTCTTCTACCAAAAGATCAGGGAATGCCACATGCTCACAAGGTAGGGTACACATTGAGTGAATAAGAGTTGCATGGATGGCATGGGCAAACCTAGGATTTTGAAAAGAGGGGTACAGATGGTGAGGGACATCATTACATATAAGACAATACACATTTTTCTTTAGTGAAAAAGAAACTGGAAGTTTTATTAGTATTCAGGGAGTCTTGGGCTATGTTGTTCAGTTTATGATCTAAGCAAAAACAAATACAACTTCCTTGGAACGTGCATTGTTTTTATAAATAATGTATACTATAGCAAATCAAAGTAAAGTAGACAAAAAAATAAACTAAAGCGTTTGCTTCTTTTGTCCTGTAGCAAGGGACAGATCCAAAATTTCTCAAAGGAGATGCAGCAGCAGCTACCCCACTGCAGGGGTGGTTGCATCCCCTGCTCCCAGGATTTTCTTCCCTACCAGTGTGAGGAGACCACACTGTGGAACACTATAGGGAGTTTTTAAAACCCTATAACAGGTGAAAATACCCCCTCCCTTCTCCTTCCTGCTCAGAGATGGCCCCCTTCTCCTCCCCAACCCCACCTATCCCTGTCGTACTTGTAGGCAGAGTGCATTGGGCCAAATACCAAGATCTAGGTGAGCAACTCTTCAGGAAGGCACCCCAAGGGAGGACAAGGACTAATGGGCACAAGCTAATAGAAAATTTAGGCTGAACATAAGAAAAAACTTTTTTTCTGTAAGGGTTACCAGAATCTGGAACACACTCCCGGCAGAGATGGTGCAGTCGCCATCCTTGGAGGTGTTCAAGATGAGGCTGGATAGGCACCTTGTTGGACTTGTTCGAGCCAAATAACTTCCTGCCTGTGGCAGGGGACCGGGCTTGATGATCTTTCAGGTCCCTTCCAGTCCTTTGATTCTATGATTTTATGAAGTTCTAGATCTAGCCAGGCTGAGCAGAGGTTGAGCTAAGCTGGGGACAGGACAGTGGCAATGGAGCCACTGGAGAGATCCTAGATTGTTCCCTCCATTGTGCCCAGTCACAGAGTAGGGAAGGGGAACCCTTGTCCATCCCTGCTGCCCTTGTCCCCATCCCACAACAGGCAAGCTCTGGTCCTTCTCTGTCCTCAGGACAAACAGAGAAAAGTAGATGGAGGAGGAAAAGGATGGGCAGGGAAGGGGTGGAGAAGAGGCATTTCTTTGATCAGGAAGGGGCAGTGAGAGAGTATTTTCACCTGCTTTACAAATTTAAAAAAAAATCCCTGGAGGCTCCCACAGTGTGGTCCAGTCCAAAGGTGGTGCTCTTTCAGTGCACAAGTCTCATGGAGCAGCATGCCCATGAAGAAGAACGTCAACCTTTATTAAAATATCTACAAGTCATGTTCATATTAAACTAAAATAAATTCATATAGAAAAAAAAACAAACCATGTTGCGTTGAACAAAAGTTCTGTTCCTGTCGTTGGGAAAGTCCTACACATTCCTCAGAGGTGGCACATCATCAATGGATGTGAAGGAATGCAAAAAAAATATAATTAATTCTATGAATCTCCCTTTCTGCCAATCATTTTCCTCAGGGCCCCTATGACTTCCTGATTTCTCAGTGTGTAGATTAGAGGATTTAACATTGGTGTCACTACTAAGTAGAAAACAGAAATAATTTTATCCTGCCTGTGGAATGACTTACCTTGGGGTTTGAGGTACTTGAATATTACTGTGCTATAGAAGACAGTTACCACAGTCAGGTGGGAGCCACAGGTGGAAAAGGCCTTGGACCGGCCAGCCACTGAGCGGATCTGCAAGATGGTTAGGATGATGCGCATGTAAGAGAAAAGGATGAAGGAGAAAGGGATAAGGAGAGAGAGTGATCCAGTGATAAACATGACAATTTGACTCTTGGAAGTGTCAGAGCAAACCAGCTTCATTAGAGCTGAGAGTTCACATGCAAAATGGTCAATCTCATTATTCCCACAGACAGAAGAGGGCATGAGGATAACAGGGACTACGGTCAGCGGGCATGAGGAGAACAGGGACTGCGGTCGGCAGGAAGGCAACTGTCCATGAACCCAATGCCAGGTTGGTACGCTCTGTCTTGCTCATAATAAGTGTATAATGCAGTGGGCTGGCAATAGCAACATAGCGGTCGTATGCCATGACTGCTAGCAGGAGACACTCAGTGCATCCTAAGTAAAGTGAAGTCAATAACTGGCAGGAACACCGTGCATAGGAAATGGTGGGTCTGTCAACTGAAAAACTTACTAATGCCTGTGGGATGGTAGTTGTAGAATAGCAGATATCCAGGAAGGACAAATTGCTGAGGAAGAAGTACATGGGGGTGTGAAGGTGTGTATCATACACAGTTAGGAGAATGATGAGTCCATTTCCAGCTAGGGTTACCAGGTAGGCCACAAGGAAGAACCCAGTCAACATCATCCTTGTGGTCGGGTGATTGGAGAAGCCAGTGAAGATAAATTCAGCCACCATAGTTTGATTCTCCTCCTCTTCCATGTCATGCTCCAAGCATTGCCTGTAGGAATCAAAATAATGTAAAACAGATTTTGTATAAAGTGCAAGAGAGGTGTTGAAACACTGTGCATCATGACTGGAAGCACTGCTCCATTTATAGAGGGATGGATAGATAGATGTTCATGTTTAGAGATTTGTAATTAGAGGATAGAATCACATAAAAGTAGGGCTGGAAGGGACCTCTGGAGGTCATCTTGCCAAACTCCCTGCTTGGTATACGATCATTCCTACCCAATGGGTGTGTCTACACATGCAAATGATGATGGATGGGTTTATTCCAGTAATTTACTCCGGAGTAAACCCACCCTGGGCAGGCATCTAAACATGCATGCGTTTGGGAGAAGATTTGGTCCCAATGGCTGCGTCCAGATGTGTGTAGAAGTTTGTTTCCCCAGGGACAATTAATGCAAATGCACCTTGTGCCACAGCTAGTTGTCCCCGGGGAACGCCTGTGCTACACACACTCTGGTGCACAGCAAGTTATCCCGGGTGGGGTGGGGGAGAATGGGGCCAGCACTGGGCTGGCTCCAGCAGCCTTATCTGGGTTCCTGGGGGACTCCCAAGTACACAGCAGTGGTGATTCTGCTGTGCAGAGCCTGTCTGCAGTGGAGCACAGCTCTGGACAGCCAGGGTCTGGCTTTGGGCTGCGCACATTGCCGCCAAATATGCCAGTCTGCTTTTTTTACTGCGTGTTTTTTTGACCCCTGGATAGCTAAGGGTCAAAAAACACCTCTGTGCTTCTCTCTTGCAGTGTGGAGAACAGCTGAATGTGCGGTATGTGACGCTGCAGACATGTCTGCAGCACTACATACTGCACGGCCATGCTCCACTGGACATGCCCAATGAGAGCAGCCAGGAGAGGGCTGCTCCCACCCTGCTCTGGCACTATGCAGTATCCGGGGGGAGCTCCAGGCTTCCCTGGGTGCTAGACCAGGGGCTGGCAGGGGGAGCTGGAAGATTGCTCTCTGCCCCTAGAAGCTGCCTGCTGCCAGGGTGGTTTCCAGTGGTGGGACCTGCCGTTTCCGCACAGCTCTTTCCAAGCCCCCTGGCCTGATTGCTCAGTCGGGACACAGGGTTGGGAAAGCTTCAAGGCCGGGACCTGCTCCAGACTGGGATAGTTCCCAGTCAGTTCCAGGCTGCGTGGGGAAGTTTGCACGTGCAGCCTGGAGCTGGCTGGGACCTGCCCAAAATGGGATTGTTCCCAGCCTACTCTGGGCTGCACATGCACACTTCCCCACATAGCCTGGGGCTGGCTGGGAACTGTCCCAGTCTAGGGCAGGTCCCAGCCAGTGCTAGGCTGGGTGGGGAACTCTCTCCATGCAGGGAGCTCCCAGCCCCAGTTCCACAATTGGAGTGGGGGCTGGGAGATTGCTCCCTGCTGCCAGGGCAGCCTCCAGTGGTAATCTCTTTCTTACATTTTACAATGTCCACCTGCCTGGCATGAGGGAGCTCTCGGCCCCCACTCCATGATCATGTAGCAGGGGCTGGGAGCTCCCTGCTGCCAGGGCAGAGACATTGTCCCTGCCCAGGCTCCGCCACTGGGGCCTGCCTTGGCAGCAGGGAGCAATAATCTCCCATCCCCTGCTGCCTGGCTGACTGAGAGCAAATTTATTCCTGGTCATCCATCTACACATGACTTACCATACAGTAACTACTCATCAGTTAATTTTCTACTTGCATTTGCAGGTAGCAAATTAATTGCTGAGTAGAGCAAATTACTGCACAGTAGGGGTCTGCATGTGTAGACAGTGATGCTCACTGCACAGTAATTTGCTCCATTGTGCAGTAAAGCATCTTGTGTAGATGCACCCAATCTATTGCATACAAAATCCTTGTCTAGCCTGTTCCTAAAACTACACAACTGAGATTACTATGACTTGTATAATATCTCAATATTGTAGTATCTGTTGTTATTGTTACTCATATCAAATCTTAATTAAAATAGCATATTATTTTAGACAAAATATCTGTGGCATTTAAATTGCCTTCAAGTGACCTATAGATTGTAAGTGCAACGAATAATGGCAAGTTCCTACATTTCATTTTATTTAGCTTTCTTTCAACCTTTAGGATGGCATACTAGTTGCTAGTTAGCTATGCAGAAATTTAAGGATAAAAAACTACTAAATCCATCCACAATACATGTCACCCAACACATTAGGACCTTGCTTATCCTGATGTCAGTAGAGGTTTTTAATTCTGTGGAAGCAAGAAAAAGCAAGCATTGGAAAACCCTTGAGAGAAAGAAGTTTTCCTTTTAAGCAGTTCCCACTCACTAAACCCTTGTGTTTACTGACAAAAGCTAGATATAGAGCATGCATCTTATAGACTAATTAAATCTACATAAATTTTTGTGAGCCTGAGCTCCCATGAGGTCAGATCTTTACTTGGTGCTAATCAGTCATAGAGGTATGGTAGAAACTCAACCAGAACTGTAGAGGTGACCTTGGCTTTCCTGGATGCAATGGACTACAGTCCCAGAGAGTGTCATTGGGATGCTTCATGATAAGCTGATGCTCCATGACAGATATGAAAATCACAGTATTTTTGGTCTCTCAGTGTATCCAGTTTTTAGCCAACCCAAGTAATTTTTCTACACTATATAGAATGAGGCATATGATATAGGATATTCCTGATTGCAACCCAAAACACCAGAGCAACAGCAGTGCTGCTTAACGAGCTGACTCGTAAGACATTTCTCCAGCAAATGTCTTGAATACAGGAAAGACAGATGATATAGAATCAGCAAGAGGATGGTTGTGGAATAATTGTTTTTGTATAACTATGCTTCCTTGTGTTCTGCTAAATGGGCAAATATGGATGAAGTAGACCAGTCACAAATATCAGGTAGAGATGTTTGATACTTTCCATCACTGCCTTAGAAAGTGGAAAAGGGTGTGAAAGAGCTGTTTTTCTCACTCTTGCAACTGAATTACAGATGAGCAAATGGACAAAGCAGTATCTCCTAACAACAACCGTGATAAGACCTCATTCAAATGTAAATGCTTAGAGTGTGAAACTTCAGTATTATTAAGGATGAATCATTCAATTAATTAATCACACATATAAATAAAAGCACTCACTTCTTGATCATCCCCCAGAAGTACAGTGAGCTCCAAGATTACGCTCCTTCCAAGATACCAGCGTTCCAATTCAGCGATCAAAAAAAAAAAATCTTTGCCAACATATTTATGGGCTTTTGCTGAGAAAACTTGGTAGATTAAAAAAAATAAAAAATCTGTATCAGTTCTACCTTCATTAACTAAGAAATTAATTAAAAGGCAGGAAAGAATAGGAGAAAAAGTGAGAGGATACTTATTTTTTTCCCCAAAGATAATGAAATCATTTTAGATTACTAGTTTGTTTAACTTCTGTACCTTCATTGGAAGTGACTGCCTGTAGCTAAGATGAAAAACCATCTTATATATTCTGAAGACTTGTAATAGCACAGTGCTTTCTAGCTAAGGAAAGAGAAAGTCTGTTAAAAAAATAACCATGTGTGTTCCTACAGGGAATTATGAAATCACCTACTGCCTCGAAGTAGACAGTGGGGCTGACTCTCCTACTCATTCAAGTGTCAACCAGGAGCAAGATCCCTGGGAGTCAAAGGAGCTGCTTCTTATCTTACTCAAATGGAAAGCAACAATTCTGACTCTCTCTCCTCTTGCTGGCAATCAGGGTTAAACACACTGGGGTTCTTGCAATGACCACCATAGTTTCTACCTAGGGAGATCAGAGCCCTTTTGTCAAGAAAGGGTAAATGTTTTTCTTAGATCTAACCACAGACTGGGATTTTCATCTCCTGGGGAAATGTCAACAGTCTCAGAACTGGTTACATCAGAAATCTTTCTGAGAAAGACACGTTTTATGATTTTGAATTTTTTTTGGCCGCAAATTAGAATGATTATTTTTTCTTATTTCCTAGAAAGAAAAAAAAAAAGATGTCAATCAAAGGATTATGTTCTTGTGTTGTCAAATGTTTCATTCTCATTTTAGCTTCCTAAGAAGAATTTTTCCAACTATTTGAGTTGGTTTAATAAAAGATATCGAATTTACCCAAAGAACCCTGTTCCCTGTTTGCTCGTGTCCTTAGACCAACCTGGCTACAACCTATAGCCCTCATTCTCATTTTGACATTTGAATACATTTAAAAATCAAAAGGGTGACAATCTGCAATGAGTCACTGGAAATGTTTCTACTGATTAATTGTCGTTTGGATAACATCTAAACATTTTTTGACTTCCTAACCAACAAATTACTTTAATAGAATATTTCACATAAAGACATATACCTTGTCTTAGCAAACTGGCTTTAACCACCACCCCACCTCCGCCCCCAAATAAGTATAAAAGAAAACATATTTAAAGATAAATTTATTCATGATAAATCCTGATCCATTATGTTCCAATATTGTAAGAAGGGTGTATGTTGATATCCTCATAAGGCTTTGCTTTCATTTTTCTCTTAAATCATTCAAAAGCTCTGAAGATATTTGGCAATGGACAGTTGATGATGGTTTTTGCTTCAGCCAGAACACTGGCATGTATTCTTTTGTCCTTCCAATTTATATGGAAAATATTTCAAGGACATTACTATTTGTAATGTTCCAAAGCTTTCAGGTGTTTCTGATACGATGTCCAAGTTTCATACGTATACAACAGGGTGGGAATGACAACAGCTTGGTAGATAAGGACCCAAAACAAACTTCCTGTGTCATGATCATCAAATACATGATTTAACAGGTGCCCAAAGGCAGTACTGGTAATTTTTGTATCTGGTGTTCAGGGAGTCTATGCTTACATTGGGAAAGATGGTAGGGGAAGTGCTCATCAATCTCTAAAGACTGCCCTCTAATTTTAATGTGTGGAAGAGAAACTGGTTGGTTTAGGGTGGCTTGGTAAAGGAACTTGGTTTTCATGAAGGTGACAGTGGGTGCCTATTAGGTGTGTGTGAAGCGGCTAGTATTCGCTTCAAATTTGGATTTGGCTGATTCGGGGGGCAGTGATTCGATTTGGTGATTCGAATCATTGTCCTTTTTTGATTTGGCCGAATCTGATTCGGAGATTTGGTAGTAGCTGAATCTCTATCTCAAAATCAGCCAGGCCAGGCCCATCCCCTGCTCCTCTCCCAGCCCAGCAATGGCTGCCTTGTCTGCCCCAGCTCCAGGCACTTGGGGAAAAAAAAAGCCCTGACTCAGCAGGTGCTGCCAGGTGGGGAGGCAATCCCCACTGCCCCATGCTGCATGGGGGGCTCTAGCCCCTGAACCCCCGCTCCCCTACCCCCCTTGTGGGTGCCCCGCATGGGCCAGCTCTGCCCATTTAAGAAAAAAAACCTGAAGAAACCCCAAGACACACCACTCCTGCAAGCAGGGGTGATCCCCGCTGCCCCCGCTGTACCACATCATGTGGGGAGCTCTGCATGAGCCTCAGAAGCCCTGAGGCTGCACCAGGAGTGGTGAGTCCTGGGGCTTTCTTGGCTTTTTTTTGGTCCCCTTCCCCCTCCCGCAGCCTCCCCCCACCCTCTGCCCCTACTTACCAGCTCCTAGTCCAGCTGCAGCTGCCTGCTGAAGCCACCAGGGACTGTCCGAATCATCAAAGCTCTCCAAATCTTTTTCAAAGATTCGGAGAGCTTTGAATCGATTCAGACCTTTTATTTGGTCCCCTGATTCAATTTGAATTTGGAGATTTGGGCACCAAACTGGGCCGAATATTCTCCGAATTGAATCGCCACCCAAAGCTTCGTACAGCCCTAATATCTATACATGTGCTCTGGGGTGGGCAGGGAAACATTTTAATTAGAGAGACTCTCAGACAACCACTCTAATTAAAACACCACAGTGTCATGTATATTCAGTATCCCACATTTCAAAAGGGCTGCAGGGGCACTTTAACTAAAGCTTGTTTGACAAGGTATTAGTTAAAGTATCCTCGCTGCCATGCTGAATGCACGTGATGGTGAAGCATGCTACAGCCTCCTAATTAGAAGGTTCCAGGAGACTTGATTAATGAAGTCTGCTCTGACACGGTCTAATCTGAACACGTTGGAGTAGGTGTATAGGCCCACAGTAAATCCAAACTTTTTTTTATGGTTCAGAGAAGCAATCAAGAGTGACCTAGAGGTCTTCTATTGCATGGGCATACATGCCAATCATCAGCATACAGAATATCAGTAATGGAAGAGTTGGTATCATGGAGTAGGAACTTAACCAGTTAATGTTAAGGAGATTCCCTGTCAGCAATTGAGATGCAGAATAGTGATACAGATGGGGAAAAGTGCTGGTGCAATCACGCATCCATGCTTGATGCCAGTTCTGATAATGAAGGTGTCTATTTCTGAGCCACCGCTTAGGATCATAGCCTCCTGCCCACTGAAAAAGCTGCTGTTTTTAAGCAGTCAGCCACTCCCATGAAGTTAAGTGGGACCAACTGGGGGTAGTTAGACCATTGGCATCCAGGTCCATGTAGGTAACTAGGGGCATCTGAGGGCAATTTACCCTTCTTGCTGCTCTGATTGCTGACAATTCAGCTCAGAGCACACAAGTGGAAAATTTATAATCTAATTATTGGAGGGTTGTCTTTAATTCATTCCCCCCACTGCTATGGGGGGCAGGTGGCATGGGGAGGTTAAGCAGCTTGCTCGCTGCTTGTGCCTGCCCTCTTGACACCTCTGCCCCCTACCTACCCCCACCCCTTGAGTCCTCCCTTTCCCTTCTGTTCCCCCTTGCCCCTCCTCCCCAGTCTCTGCTCCCCGTCCCCCTCTCCCCAACCTCTACTTCCTCCTTTCCGTCTCCCCCGCTAGCCTCTCCTCCCCTCTTCCTCACCAGCCTCTGCTCCCTGCTTCCTTCTTTTGCTTTTCCTTCCTCCTTGCCAGCAGGCTCCATTCTTATGCTAGCCTGGGGCACTGAGCACAACTCCAACCTAGCCCCCATAGCACCTAGGAAGCAAGTGCAGGAAGCAGAAGCTGGTGAGGGAGAGGGGAGCAAAGACTAGATGGGGAGATGGAAAGGGGGAAGTAGAGGCTACACACCAGTGCTATGGGGGAGACGAGGGGAAGAAGCTTCAGGGAGGAGATGGCAGGGTGCAAAAGTGTTGGGTGGGGAGAAGGGGGGCAGGTAGTAGCTGTGAATATGGCCTGGACCCTGGGCAGCATCTGGAGCCTTAGCTACAGCATCTGCCTGCCCCCTCACTACCCTCATACCCTATTCTAAAATAAGGGGCTCTCCCATGTTAGGGGGAATAAAACTGTGTCTTAGCATCAAGTAAATACAGTATTCTTTGACAGAAGCTCATTGATGTCCCCAGATGGTAGCTAGGAAAAATCCAGCAGCGAGTATAATGTGTTAGAGGCCAAGAAGGATAGGGCCGTCCCATGACGCATTCTATCGCTGCCAGATGGTTTGATATTAATAATTTCCTCTGTATAGGCTTTAATTTTTGAAGTAAAACATGGAATACAATATTTGGATTTGAGGGGGAAAAATATTTTGCTCAGAAGTTCATTTACCTTTCTTATATGTTTTTGAAGTGGTGGTTTTATTACTTGAAATTTGATTTCTTCAGAAAGTTGAAGTTGGAAATGAGAAGCTCAGATTTGACTAAGCAACACTTAATCTAAATGAAGCACTTAAACAGTAACATAACATTCTTTATTTTTAGTTGTATTTTATTTTCTTATTTTTTAAAAATTCAAAGTTGAAACTAAACAGTTTCTATATCTCAAAGCAAACAATTGCAATTGAACCAAAATGGTTGGGTTTTTGTTCATCTGAGTTAATGCCAAGTTTAACTTTTAACTCTCATTTCGATCTGACACTAGAAGAAATTGCATGGTGGAATTTCCCATACTGATTGTGGATGGAGTAAAATGTTGAATTCTGAAAATTTCCCTTTAGAAACCCTTCCATATTTATTCTCCTCCTCCTCCTCCTCATTGGATCTACTGTTCAGATTTACTTTACTTTTTTCTGGAAAAAAGGATACTGGCATTGCAGGGTTAGACTTTGTCTGAATGAGTGAGGATATCATCATCCCACAGGTCCCACTTCAGTTAATTCTGATTTAGTCAAAAGGTTTCCAGAGAAGAATATGGTACATTGTCTGGAATGGTGTTATACCATATATATGCTAGGGTAAAGAGGAGAACACAATCAGACCCTATAATCCTTATTTTATACTAGTATAAGTGTGAGAAGAGAATCATCCATGATGATTACGTGGAATAAAAAAAAACCTGGGTTAGAATTCCCAGTGGAGTTGCAGTCAGCAATTTAATGAACAAAGTTTTCTTGTCTTTTAATTTAATGGAAGAGGTCTTTATTACAAGTCCTCAAACCACTGATCAAGTTGCTTTCACTTAAGGGAACAGGGCTCTCTGTGACAATACAGAAACTAGACACAGCTAATTATTTCATCTCATCTCAAACAGTTTTGGAAAAAATAAAATTTAAAATTTTCTCTCTCTCTTCCTTTTGTTCATTCATTCACTCATACTTTTTTACCACCATTTCATGTGGTGATATCTGTTTATATCCTAAGTATCTCATAGTCAATGGATAAAAATAATGAAAAAACAAAAATTAAAATCACTTTATGAAGTTCCCTTCCTCACTCTTTGTAAAGTCCCTATCACCTCCTGGTTTCACAGCGTGTAGATTAGAGGGTTT